CATAATCCTCCCCCAAATTCAAAAGCTAAAAACAATTGGATGTGAAAGTAAGATTAGGTAAATTGATTGATCAACCAATCGACCGACGGAAAATGAAGAAAGCAAAAATATAAGAAGCGGAGTGACATAACCATTGGAAAGCAGTATATCTACTCAGTTACAGAGCAACTTTCGAGTTTCCGGCGGCACACGGGGCATGAATTATGGGCGGAGAGCCATTGAGAAATGCAAATTTCATGGAAAACGTGGCCGCAATGGAGTTTCTTGCCGGAGCCCAACCCCTCCAAACAAACCGTACACTCACGGCCGCTCCCCGTAACCACCGTCGGCATTTGGTTGACCATGGATACGCCATCGGAAGTTGACTTTTCGGGCATAGTCAAGGCCAAATCCAGGTCAAACAATTCATCCATGGCGGTCAACACAACATCGTCGTATGAATGCTTACTATGAGCGTTTGAATAAAGAATTTGATAACTTGCAAAGGTTTGGTCTTTATAAATAGGTGTAGACGGCGGCGCAAGTTTGATGTGAACCGGCAATTTCTTGACTTTTTTTTAGTTTCCAAGAAGGGCGACAGCGAATTGCTCTTTATCACACCAGTTATTGTTATAATTTAGTAGATAGATTATAGTTAATTTGTTGACCTTTTTTTGAGTTTCCAAGAAGGGCGACATCCCATTGCTTTTTATTACACCACTTATTATTACTAGCACGGGAACAATATTAAATTAACAATATTATTAGTAGACCTCGAGTTTGAGTCACTCAATGACGGAAGTGAAAACTACTATTGATCCTATTTAAAAAGAGGAAGAAAAAAATAATTACAAATTAAAGAGGAGGATAAACAATACTTAATAATTATAAATTAAAGATTCGGTGTCAAACAATGTAAAATTATTTTGTATAAGAGAATATAAAAAAATTTGATTACACAACATTTCAAAATTATTATTATACTTTTTTGTATGGTTAGCTTATAATATTTGTAAAAATATTAGTAATTAGATCGATGAAAATTAGCTTTTTAAAGTAGATAATGGATTTCTAGTAGTAATTATGATTTGGTTTCTAT